CTGCTGCTTTAGGTTCACTTTGGTCTGCATTCCTAGATATTTGTTAAGATCCTATGTAAGAGAGTCATCCATGCTTTCTGACATTGCCAGTCCCTGAGCAAACCCCACTTTGTTCTTGGATCATCCCTAAAATCACCTAACAAGCCCAAATCTTCTAAAAAGCCCTTTCTAAAAACCCTCTTACTGAGAAGCTCTAAAGACCCCATGGTGCGTACTCTCCACGCTGCAGGTGAGTACAGGTGTGTCTCTGGTAACAGGGCATCAGCAGCAAGAAGGACTCATCGAGATTCCGCTGAAGTTCTCAGTGCTTGGCACTGGGACCCTGGATAACAGAGTGCACACCTAAAATTTCTTTTGAGGTAAAACCTGCCTTTGGCTGGGAGGTAAGTTCACGCTGAACTGAGCTCAAACATTTCACTGAAGCCCTTCAGTGCTGGGTTTATCTTGTTTTCCTAGAAAGTATTCCCTATTCTGCTTGGGGACTATTTTAGTTGTCCAACTGGACTTGTCATTGCTCCCTTATGATACTGCTTTCTGGCCTACTAGGATCTGTCCATCTGCTCCTAGGATCTGTCTGTCCAGTGTTGACTCTTATCTACAAGAGGAATATACCATAATGAGAGGACAGACAGAGACCTGATTAGTCCATCTGAACTGACCCCAGAAGTTGAGTTCAGAAGATCTATGTCTGGTAATAACATTTCAAAACTTTATAAGGTATGACATATATGAACCTTGAAAATATTAAGGAAAATGACAGAAGTCAGTCAGAAAAGACTACATATTGCATGATCCCATTTCTATGAAACACCCAGAACAGGCTAATCTATACAGACAGTGTATTAGTTGCATCAGTTGCCTTGGACTTGGGGTGGGACTAGGAGAGGGTCACTGCTAAGGGACACAGGGTTTCTTTTTGGGGTGATGAAAATGTTATAAACTTGGGGATAATTACAAAACTCTGTGAATATACTAAAAACCACAACAGTATACATATCATAAAATTCACCCATTTCAAGTGTAAGTTATATTTCAATGAAGACGACTTGACTTCAACTGTCTTTGTGTCCTGAGAACTGCTCTGCTTAGTTTCACACGCCCAGAACCAGGAGGTTTTGTCTGGTGCCCTGACCAATGACCACTGGCCTCTATAAGTGGAAATAAAGCCACACGAGTGTTGTCTTATGCACTGCTGCAGCTCTTGTGGGCTGTCCCCATCTAACATGACACCTCTGCCCGGCCAACACCTGCTTCCTTCAGGTTTTCTCACTGGAACACTGACTCGTCACACTTCTCCCTCAATTGACTCGATTTCAACAAGGACAATCTGGAGTTGGAAGTGGCCATTTTGGGAGGGGCTCATGACATGAACAAGACTGTTCATCTGAGGTGCATCAACACTGTACCAACAGTGGAGTGGGGACTTTAAGAGTATTCCCATGGATGTTTCGGTGTATGGCCTTCCTGGCAATGACATGACCTTAATAAGACAAGGATAGGAACTAAGCATTGAGGTGTATCTTTAAATACCTCCAAATGAGCTATGAGTTTGTTCAATTACTGTTTATTTTTAGGGTAGACTGAGGCTTCCTCATGCTAAAGAGCTATGCTGTAATGGTAGAAGAAAAATTACTAAATCCTGTATTCCTGACAGGGGAAATCCCAACTATTTCTCTAGTAACAGGACCACACGTTACACTGACGTGGTTATTAAAGAACTCCATAAGCATTATCTTTTACTCAAGACTATCCACTGTCCTTATCATCCACAAACTTCAAGAAAAATAAAGAGAACAAATGGAATTCTAAAACTGTATTTATCACAGCTCTCAAAAACTCTCAAACTTCTACAGTCCGAACCACTGCCATGAACCCTGATGGTGGGGAGATTATCCTCTCTGGGACCCACAAGTTGATTCCTTACGGGTTAATAGCCTGCCTTTTTCAAGTGGGAATTATAGTTTAAATCTTAGGTTCTACCCTATTACCAGCTGACACAACTGAACACTACAATGATGCCTCCAGGTTTATCACAAAAAGATATGAGCTTATGAATGCCTCAAAATCTGGAGTTTTGGTCTCCTGAAAAAGATGCCACCAGAGAAAACCTTCCACTAATATCAACCGACTCAGCAGTTACACCTGAGATGTTGTTCATTGGATACATGTTTCCCAACTTAAACACGTATCACAGCCTTCTGACTACTGTATATGCGTTCGTTCTAAGGGATTCTCCAGAAGATACCGAGTTAAAAAATGGACAGCTCCTACTAAGATGACAAAATCAGATTAATTTTCTGATTCTTCAGTATTCTTTTCTTTATTATCACCTATTAAAACCAATATGATCTTTCATCTTCATCCTATTGTTTTTGACCCCTCTAAGATCTCTTAGCCACTTAAGGAAAAATAAAACTCTTGTTTTTTTCCTAGATCACAGCTACTAATCTGAGTATAACAGATTGCTGGATCTATTATCCTGCATCTGACCCAGCTAACAAAAGTTTAATAACTTCCTTTAAACATGTCAGAAGGTAGACTCCCTTTTACAGGCCCTTCATATATCGTATCTTAGCCCTCAGTCATAAAGAAGGTGTCTCTGCAAATGTAATCAAGTTAGATGAGGTCATCCTTGAGCAGAGTGGGCCACTGTCCAATAATTGGTGTCCTGAGGAGGGAGGTTTGGAGCTGGAGACACAGGGAAGACCACGTAACAATGGAGGTAGAAACGGGAGAGACGCAGTGACAAGCTGAGGACCGTCAGGGAGTGTTAGCAGCTGAAAGGAGCAAGGAAAGAGCAAAGAAAGATCCTTCCCTACATCCTTCAGAGGGAGCATGGCCCTACCAACACCATCATTTCAGATTTTTGGCCTTCTGAACTATGAGAGAATAAATTTCTGTCATTTTAAATCACCCAGTTTGTGGTATGTTGTTGTGGCAGCACTGGGAAACTCACACAGTGGACCGAAATTCAAGAAATTAATGAAGTTAATATGGCCCTCCTGGTCCTCCAATCTTTTGGAGAAATCCTCTTTATTAATCTTTGTTAGTTTTTCTTCCCTCCCTGATTATAGTTATTTCTCAAGGATTTGGTTCCGGCTCTTATGTATGCATCTTCCTGTTGAGAGTCAATCCGTCACTGCTAAAAGAAAAGCCCCAAACTGGTCATCTCCAGTCTTGATCTCACTCACTCAGTCTTTTCAACTACTCTGTGGCATGATGTTGCCTGGTTATCACCCGAGCATGGTTCACACAGAACTGACTTTGCTGACATACTCTTAAAGCTGGGCTTCCACTTCCTCCCATTGATTTTCATATTGTAGTTACTGCATTTTATAGATTTCTATCTATTATATGATTACCAATTTTTTGAGTACCATTATGAAAGAAAAAGTAACTGTAAAGATTAATTGTAAGACACATCTGAATTCAGAGATAATAAAACATGAAAAACTATGACTTAGAATCAATGAATATAATAAAATGTTATCACTGTTTTCCTAGTCATCCAGGGTACCTCGGCCCCTCCTATTCCCTCAATACACATATTCAGTATCATCATGATTCCTCCTTTATAAAGTCTCTTAATATCTACTTTCTGTACAGTTTTACTCTAAGCATTTTCATTCAAAGACAACTGTATTGTACGTGGTTTTTGGACTGTCTCTTCTCTGCCAACTCCCTTGCATACCAGTATCAAATTAATTTCCCTAAAATATCTGTAAATGTTTTGTATTTTTATTCCCATCAAGGTAGACTCCTTATTAGCACTGGGATAAAATCCAAGCTTACCTGGCCTAGCTGTGCAGACACTGCCAGCTGCATGCAACATCCATTCTCCTCAAATTCTGCTTAAGGCAGTTACGTACTCAACTAGTACACATATATCTTGGGATCCCCTTGCAGCTGGGAAAAACCACGTGACATCATCTGGCAGAAATTCTTTGGGACTTTGGGGAACATTTGTGCTTTCCTGATACAAGCACTACCCTCTTCTAGAATATGAGACTAAAAATGAAGCACAAATCTTACAACCATGAAGAAATAAGCATATGGATGAAACTGACAAACGAAGGAGGGAGGGCTATAAAAATAACAGCATGGCCTAGGCCCCTGCTTATGTTTAAGAGTCACTGTGCCAGTCCTGGGTTTCCTATTTCTGTACATTTTATGCAATAAAAATAAAACCCTGTTTGGTTTAAGCCACTCTGAAGGGACTGCTATATGCAGTTGAATGCAATCCTAACTTAAACTAGCACTCAAAGCTTTTCACAACATGTTCTCAACTGCTCATTTTGTCTTATTTCCCCATTATTTTCCATATTTGCAGGTTTCCAAGCTTTATTCTTATTATCATGCATTGAATTCACCGCTTTACCAAACATGCAATGCTGGTCCACACCCCTGTGCTTTTATACATTTTCAAATAAATGTCATTCCCTCACCTGGGAAAACTCCTAGCTATTAAGATCCAGCTCCAATATACAGTGTTAACTAGCTCTTTCCTTTGTGAACCCATAACACTGTGTCCACACCTCTGGCCGAGTGCTAATCACTGAATCACTGATTTATTCATGTTACCTCAGTTAGACTATTAACTCCTCAGATGCAGGTACTATATATGTCTTTTTTTAACACAGATTCCCAAGTTTGACACATGGTAAGTTTTCAATAAATATTTTAATAAAGAATAAAACACTAACTGGATTTGTTAAACTGGTACTTTCTGCATTGAAAGTAGTTCAAAATTCACATACATATAAGAATTGTGCCATCATATGTATATATGTCCCATCAGATAATGTTCAACTATTTCCTTTCTCAATGCATACCTTGTTTAAAAAATTATAGTACTAATAGCGTCTTAAAAAATCCAGTTACCATGTTTTATTCTTTTTCATATTTCCTACAGGATCCAGTACAAAACTTTTACCTAATAAGCACTTAAAAATGCTTGACTTGACTTTATAGCATCATGGAAAACACAGAAGACACTATACCTATAGAGGAAGACTGCGGACTAATCAGAAGGTCCTCTTGGACTTGCTCACTTCCTGGCACTGTCTGCTGATCACTCAGTGAACTCTGAGAGGCACTGACAGGCTGGGATACTTCCTCATGGACCTCCTCATCACTTAACCTTTCTACTTTGACCCGGACATCTTCCTCAGTACCCAGAGGCAAGGTAGTCTTTGTGCTCTCACAAGTCACATATTCAGCCATTCTTCTACCTGTCTCAGATGGGCCAGGTAATTCTAAAGTCCGGGTATTTTCTGCTGGCTTAACCTTATCAGGCTGAATCCTTCGATCAATTCCAAAAGGGAAAGTCCAGGGAAAAGCTAGAGAAGAGTCAACTGGTTGATTTCTATTTTCTGAGTAGGGAGCTGAAGAATTTAATACCTGGGGAGAACTTGTTTGTGTGCTACACTTTACAGGACTTTCAGGAGACATCACAATGTAGCTTTTGCGCTTTCTCCGGGATTCTCGGCAGACAGGAATGGTTCTTTCTACCACACTGCACTCTGAAGACACTGGAGAAATGCTTCCATCTCGAGAAGTAAAATTGCAGTTGGAGTTATTTTCTTGTCCAGCATCTAGACTCTTTTCTGGTTGGCTATTGGGTGTATTCCATAAAATGCTTGATTTCATGAACTCTGAGCAGGTGCTAGCAACACTGAACATCTGCATATAGCTGGCTGCAGCTAGAACATCAATGATATTTTCTGTGTTAATTGACAGAGTGGCTGTGTAAGCATATTCTAAAAGGGGTATAAAGCCAGTCACTGTAACATGATGCAGATCCAACACATTCTTGTTGTCATCCTCTGCCTGGCCTACAAGTTTGGTGCGAAAGAAGTCACTGCAAGCTGCTAGCACCACCTTATGTGCCCGGAAGACTTTGTCCTGGACGCGGATAGTGATATCACAGAAATGGCCATCATTTCGCAGCATATTTAGCTTTCCAAGCATTTCCTGGCTGTGGGAAGAGGAACTATGAGTAAATGTTTTCACACCCATCTTTTCCTTCCTCTTCTGCAGATGCTCTTCAAGGATGCAAATGAATCAGAGATGTCCTAAAAGACACATAAAACAAGCATTAATTGATGGCTTTGTAGTTGAAATAAAAGGTGATTTAGATCGTTTTCATGAGGCCACAATGCTAAATAAAAGAGCTGAAAGATGGTAGCGAGAAAGCTCAAGGTAAGAAATATACTAAAATACATTCCCCACCTGTCCCCTACACTCCAATCAGTGGAGTCTGTGCACTTATGTTTTAATGAGCTGCATAGTTTTAAATAACAGTTTGGAAATAACAACAATTAGAGAACCATGTGCCAGATGCTGCTCTAAATGCTTCCTATTTGATAATCTGGTTGTCATGATGTCTCAGTACATACATTATTATCCCTGTGTAACAGAAGAGGGTGAAGCACCTTGCTGAAGTCAGAAAGGCACTAAGCGGCCGAGTCAGGGTTCCACCCAGGCAGGCTGGTCCAAGACCTGGACTCTCAGTCTCAGTGCTTTACACTGCCTCTGCTAGGACATAAAATGGATACATATAGGTGGTTAAGAGTTCAAGTTTTAGGATGTGATAAGTCTGCATTCTTCCCTCAACAATTCCTCCAAAGCTGTTATTAAGGACTAAATGAAATAACACATGTAGAAATGCTCAGCACATTATCTGGCCCTTTGAATGCTCAACAAGTAAGAGCAGCTATTGTTGATCTATTACTAACAGAATAAAACAACCTTTCCGGAAGTAAATTTACAAAACAAATAATGTTTAGTAATCAGCCAAATGATTAGATTTTCCATTAAAAAAACCCAAAACATAGTTGGTCTGCCTTTATCAGATTTTACATTTATTGACTAAAAATGTAAAAAACTGACATTCTTAAACACTTTTAATTTAGCAATTCTAATAATGCTTTAATTTTTACAGTACTTTCACTCTAATCTATTTTTATACCCTCTATGTGAAGTCAGGGAGGTTTATACTAGCCCCTTGATAGAGATAAGAAAACGAATGCTCAGAGAAGTGACTGACAAATGACAACCAAAGCTAGGATCTGGGTCTTCTGACTCTTAGATCACAGTACACTTTTCCAATGCAGAAACAAACTACGTACATCAACTATTTCACCTAAGATAAATAACTTTTCTTTTTAAAGAGACTATTAAAATAAATGCAAAACAAAGCAAACTTGGGGGGAATACTTTTTTATAAATTATCTCTAGATAAAGGAGATTTCAAATGCCTCAAATATATAGCTACCAGTTAAAAATGGTGTTAAAGATGATGAATATTTAACTGACCTGGAAAAATGTTTGGTTCTGAGTATTAAATGAATGTACAATTACTGATACACAGTGAACACTCAGTAGTGGCAGTTATTTTCTAGTGAAAAAATGTGATGAAAGAGTATACAGACTATAATCACCTTTGTGAAATATATAAACGTATATGAGGTCTTAACTAGATTCCTGGATTCCCTAAGGGGCCATGATCCTTCTGAAACTACACAGAAAAATGGTAGCTTTCATCATATTCAAGGGAATAATTGGTTCAGGAAGGAACATGCCTTCAAGCAAGTGACACTCATAATCCAGGGACCATATGTATTAACAAAGGTGTGAAGGCAATAAATTAACAGTATGTTTGGAGAACATGTGCAGCAGGGTGTTGAAAACATTTCAATCTTGGTTTGGGTAGAGGCCCCAAACAACAGATACTATGTTCCAAAGTGAGGTGCAAGGCCACCTATAGAAGGAGACAGAGGAAAACCTATTTTTCAACCTTGAGTTACACCCACCTTCAATGTTCAGAGTTACATATGAGAAAGATTTCTGCAGCGAGTGATCAGTCCACTGAGAGTTGCAAACCCTATCCCACTCCCTCCTATCTCCATGTAAGGGAAAGCGGTTGAGGCAAGTTTGCCTTTTATTTCACTTCTGTGGAAAATGAATCACACTTGAAAAAAATCTAAAGGATACGAGTCTGATTGAAACTCTGGCCAACACTAGGACGTATGCTTACCGTCTCCCAACACTGTATAAAAGCAAAACCTGGAGTGGCTGAGAGGAGACTCTGGAGCCAGAATGCCGGGTGTGTATCCCAGTGCTGCTCCTTACAGCTGTGGGACCTTAGGCAAGTCACTAAACTACACCTTAATTTCTTCAGCAGTAAGTCAGGGAGAACAGAATACCCCTTCTGAGGACTACCTGGGCCAACATATGGAAAGTGCTTTCAAAGTACTTAGCACGAAATAAATGCTTCATCAACATCAGATGGTGCTGCTACCACTGCTAACGAAGACCTTTTCTTCTTAGTCAACCCCTACCTCTCCCAATCCTGAAGGGGCCAAAAATCACAGTCAGCAAATGAACAGGAATAAAAGGGCAAAGGGGGGAAAAGGGAGAGAAAAAGGAAGCCAAACAAACCTCATGTTCCACTGCAGACCTGCAGTAGGCCTGAGGTGGTCAAGGAGGGGAACCTTCAACTCTGAATTAAGTTTATTAGTTCTTGAAAATAATGTTTCTATTCGTGAAAGTGACCAGAAAAGTTATTAAGACTTGCTCGTCAAGGAAATGGATAAAGCACTAACCCTGTAGAATAAATTTAAAGGGACAGCTGAAGACAAAAATAAAATGGATTCTGAGTACCTTCCATAAATCATGTTTATTCAATGTAATGGCTACACATACATGGTACAAAGTCTGATACAGATGGAGGTATGGGATGAGAGGAAGACGGAGATTAGACTGGGAAATGCCCTGTATGCCATGTATTTATTACATGAATTTCCCAACACATGTCTGAAAACTCAGTCTCATGATATACTCTATAATAAAAAATTACATGGACAAATATAATTTGGAAATATTGCAAAAATATACACTATGGCAAAACTGGGGATGAAATTACATTATCTGAAAAGTCATACATGAGATGGACAGAAAGCCAGAAGTATACATTGAAATTTTTATAAATTACATAATTCTATTAAAAAAGACCCTCATATCTCTCTAAATGTGTGTAGATGAGTATGTATGTGTAAAGTTTTTATTTAATTTGGAACTTATGAGAAATTCTTGAGTAGGTAAATATTATTTAATTCCAATTAATGTAGAATTAATGTAGCATTCAAAAGTAATAAAAATGTATTTTGCAATAGTTCGCAATTTGAACTAGTGAGTAATTAAAAAATAGCTTCCTTCCCATTCCTTTTATTCCAAGTTACTTATGAAACAGTATACATATGTTTATGAAACTGGTTGCTAAACAATTTAAGGAGGAAAAAACCCTATAATTTTGTTTTGCAGTTGGGTTGAAAAATATTTGCCAAATATGGTATACAGTCCAACTGTTAAAACAGAATGGTTTCAGTGAGATAAATCTTAGGTTTTGAATTCTGACTCTTCCATTTACCATTCAGGCATTAAATCTTAAGTCAAGTTACTTCACCTCTCCGTTTCAGTTTTCTCAAATGTAAAACAAGAATGGAAATTACACTTTCAAGACAGTCAAGAGGACTGAATTAGCACAATTCCTGACATAAACACTGAATAAATGTTAGCTATGATTATTACCTTAGAAAAGTGTGAATAAAATGAAATGGAGACCAAATTTCAAAATGCCTACTCTATTTCTTATAGGACACAGAGCACATATTGAATAGGTATATTCTGATATAAAGATAAGCTGATAAAAATTATCAGAGGATTTGACCTTAAAATGGAACAGCTCTTAGCATATAAAGTGAGGTGGCTGCCTAAGATGATTAAAGAGAAAGTAATGAGACTGCTAACCTTGAAATTAATTCGGGAGGATGTGATATTTAATAAGAATTTGCAAATTTAAATATCCAGCCACATCTCAAAACTGGACACTAACTTTCCAAATGATACTAATAAGGTTTTAATTATGCTAAAACTGAATTGAGATCATTTCATTTCTACCCTACATTCTAATTAAAACGAATCAGGGACAGAAAAGGTTAGGGAGAGGGACATACAGAGTTTAAGATGCTTCTAAGAGGAATATCCAGGTGGAAATTCATATACGAAGTGTCTGTACTAGTTGACTGTGTACAGCAGTAGATGTAACAGTAGGACCTTTAGATATGTTGTCTCGCATGAGGTAAGATAATAACCTGATTTTATAGAGGAAATTGATACTCGGAATACTGTTTCTTTCAAAGGCACTTATGTTTATGCCAATGCTAAAGACCTAGACAACTATGCAATAGGTATGGGTAGCCACTGGGGAGTAGTGTATTTACATCTACATTTTAAAAAGATTATCCTGGTAGCAATATAGAGGGTAGACTGGAGGTTGGCTGTTACAATAGTACAAATATATGATAAGACAAAACTGAACTGAGTCAGTGGCAGTGAGGATAGAGAACAGACATCTAAGAAATATTTAGGAGGTAAAAATGACCTGGGCATGATTTTGTATTGGGGATGGGGTGGGGGAGTAGTTGGGAGAGAAGAATGTAGCCCTAGGTCTCCAACATGGATGGCTGAAGGGATGGTGTTTTCACCAAACATGATAGAGAGTAAGACAGGAAGAGCTGGTGTTGGTGGGGGTTAATGATGAATGAAAAGAAATATTTTGGTTTTAGGCACACTGAATTTGAAATACTTCTGAGAGGAGTATCCCAGTGTAAATTGATATATGACGTTGCCCATCCTGGTCTAGAGTTCAGGGGAGAGGTTAGAGCTGAACTTAAACACTGGATTTTATGTAAGTCACCGATTAAGCTTCATTCTGTTGAATTTATTAGAGCTGAAGATATCTAAAGAATGTGTGGGGAGGAGGGGCAGAAAGGCAGTTGTGAGAAGCTTGGGGCAGGCAGAGAGCAAAAAGATTCAGTGAAAATATTTTATAGCATCTAATTTATATTTTGATTCTGTCCAATATTTAGCATAATACACACAAAAGAGGCAGTGAAATATGTGAGTGGGTAAATATATGTCATGAAATCACTACCTGGTTTGGCTATAAAAAGTGCCTGTATCTATTCATTATCAGTGGTTAAAAGGTAAAGTTGCAGTTTGAATTTACAGC